TTTGCACTGTAAAAAACAAAAGAAATTGTATTTTTTATTTCACCTCATACAAGTACTGTAATGGAATCTCTTTATCATGGAATTGAACTTACAAATGTAGAATTATGTACAAAAAATAACTGCATTCAAAAACAAAACAAGGTAAAACTGTAGAGCCTACAAGTCCACTCAGTCCTATTTCTTGTTCAGCCAATCGCTCACACAAACAAGTTTGTTTACATTTGCAGGAGATAATACTGCCCGCTTCTTGTTTACAATGTCACCTGAAAATGAGAACAGGGGTTCGCATGGCACTGTTGTAGCTGGCGTTGCAAGATATTTACGTGCCAGATGTGCTAAAGATTCATATGTCCCTTCATGCTTCAACCACCTTTCCAGAAGACACGCATCCATACTGATGATGGGTTCTGCTTGATAACGAGCCAAATCAGTGCAGACCAATGCATGTTCACTTTCATCATGTGAGTCAGATGCCACCAGCAGAAGGTTGATTTTCATTTTTGGTGGTTTGGGTTCTGTAGTTTCTGCATCAGAGCTGTTGCTCTTTTAAGACTTCTGAAAGCATGCTCCACACCTCGTCCCTCTCAGATTGTTTCAGATTCTTAAACTTTGGGTTGACTGCTGTAGTTATCTTTAGAAATCTCTCATTTGTAGCTTCTTTGCATTTTGTCAAATCTGCAATGGAAGTGTCCTTAAAATGAACAATATGTGCTGTGTCATCATCCGAGACTGCTATAACATGAAATATAAGGCAGAATGCAGGTAAAACAGAGCAGGAGACGCACAATTCTCACCCAAGGAGTTCAGTGACAAATTTAATTAGTGCAATATTTTTTTAACGAGTGTCATCAGCATGGAAGCATGTCCTCTGTAATGGTGGCCGAAGCATGAAGGGGCATATGAATGTTTAGCATATCTGGCATGTAAATACCTTGCAATGCCAGTTACAAAAGTGCCATGTGAATGCCTGTTCTCACTTTCAAGTGACATTGTAAATAAGAAGTGGCAGCATTATCTCCCAGAAATGTAAAGAAACTTGTTTGTCTTAGCAGTTGGCTGAACAAGAAGTAGGACTGAATGGACTTGTAGTCTCTAAAGTTTTATATTGTTTTTGAGTGCAGTTATGTAACAAAAAAAATATTACATTTGTAAGTTGTACTTTCACAACAAAGAGATTGCACTACAGTACTTGTATGAGGTGAATTGAAAAATACTATTTCGTTTATCATTTTTACAGTGCAAATATTTGTAATAAAAATAATATAAAGTGAGCACTGTACACTTTGTATTCTGTGTTGTAATTGAAATCAATATATTTGAAAATGTAGAAAAAATCCAAAAATATTTAATAAATTTCAATTGATATTCTATTGTTTAACAGTACGATTAAAACTGATTAATCGCGATCACTTTTTTTAATCACAATCAATTTTTTTGAGTTAATCGCATGAGTTAACGGCGATTAATCAACAGCCCTAATAATTAGATTTCACCAACCAAGTAACAAGTGTGAATTCCTAAAGCATGATAACAGCCTTACCATGGAGTCACAGACAGTCCCGTTGGGCACTCCTGTCTATCTTGCCACTTAGCCAAGCCTGCCTTTGTGAAAGATTGTCACTTACACCAAAAATCACAACAATATTCAGGTTACTCCCAGTCCCAAAGGACGAGTCACCCTAGGTCAATCGTACTTCAGATCTCAAACCAAAGACCACGCTCATAGCCAGCCCTATAATATGAACTAAAGATTTATTAAGTAAGAAAAATAAATGAGTTACTTACAAGGTTAAAACCAGTAAACAGACACACAAATGAGATAGTTTCCAAAAGGTAATAGTAGCTGCTATAATATGCAAGTTCTAGAGTTTCTTTAGGGCTAACCTAAGCCAAGCAGCTTGGGGATCCCTGGCTAATATATTGGCCTCTGAATTCCAAGTAGCATAGTGACAACAATTCTTCCTTGACAGGGCTTTTTATGCCCTTCCCCCAGTTTTCAAGCTGTGATAGGATGAGGGCTTGTGCACACACCCTCTTCATGGGTATGGGGGAAAAGCAGTTTACAAAGTTTGTGGCCACTGGTGTTCCACAGTGGCTTGTCTGGTGTCGAAAGGCCTGCTTTTGTTGGGGAGAAGATGACACCTTTTGTGATAAACTAGCATTTCACACTTGGTAATACTTCTCTACTGCCTGTGGGGTTTCACAGTTTTAGCAAACACTTTTATAGTTACAGAGCAAACACTTAAACTTTACCTTATAACATGAGATACAGATATTATAAGTGAGATTAATACTTGCAGCATCCTACAAGCATTTCATAAAATCTAAAACACATTATTATAATGCTAATATCTATTTTAACAATACTAACACACCGGCAAGCCAGACTGGTTTCCAGTTGCATGTTTGTCAGTGTTCAGTGAGACCTGGGGCGTTGGCAGAAGCTGGCCACCTGGTCTGCCAGCATCACATGTGCATCTCTGCCGTGTGCCAAGAACATAAATCATGGCAGCCATTAAAAGACTCAGAAGGGTGGAACCAGAGAAGATCTGTGAGTATGGGATTTCAGAGTCAGATTCAGCTCCTGATTCTACTCGGAATTGTACTTAGAGATCTTCACTCTGATTTTCTGTAAGTCCCCTGCTCCGAATACTCATGGGAGGGGGGCATCCCCCACAGGAGAGGAACCAGTTCTGATGCCTCCTTCCTTACAGCTGCCAGCATAGTGGGCATTTTGGGGAAGTGGCTGGAACACACAGTGCTCTGGCAATCCCCAACTAGAGGATCATAGACAGCTGGTGGTGTTTAGCATCACTGCCAAACTGCATCGAGGCTGGGACAGAGAAGCAGGGGGCTATAATCATCTCCCTGACAGCTGCATCATGGCTGCACCCAGCATAATCTGGGCACAGCAGAATATCTGGCCTTCAGTGTATGCTACAATTCAATAGAAGCATACTAGAACATTTCAGCATGGTGCCAACAATTTCCCAAACCACTGCACAAAAATAGACTACAGACTTCAGCTGAGGGCTTGTCCACACATGTTAAACAGTGTTTTTGTAACCAATCAATCTCCTCTGATCCATTTATCACACCACACTTGGGAGAAGCAGTTGTTCAGTAAGATTCACACACCTCGCCCATATTCAACCATTTGTCAACCGAGATTGTGTATCTATACTTTCCAGCCTGCCTGTGTGTATCAGATCATTCTGGTAAAGTCTGAGCCACTACCTTTAGTACCTTAACAGGACATGCAAACAAACCATCACCAGCAGGACATGGGCAATGCACTCTGGGATGTCCTGTCACACAGCAAGCTGGGAGGAAGATGGACTGATCAAGCTAGGTGTTCAAGCACAGTTAAGGGATCCCATCCACATGGCACAACAACAGTTTAACAAATGGGTTACAGAATGGCAGCCATGTGCCAGCTTAGGACGCCACAAAGGACAAACGTGGTTAGCAGAGGCACAGTTTCCAATCAAGTATTTACCATACGGCATGTGACCACGTTCAGTGTTTAGAATCAGCCACACCACTAACTGGTTGGAACCATTCCTGATTTACACCAGTGTAACTGAGATCAGAATCTTGCCAGAAGTAATTCGATTAAATGATGAATCGTTATATTACTGTAAACCAGAGTTTTCCTTCACTAGACTGTTCTCTGCTGTGCCTGCAGTTAGATAAGAGCTTTCTGCTCAACAAATTCTCTATGTGTTTACAGCAATGGCATTGCTAGAAAGCAGTTAGCCAGGCGGAAACAAAGAATATGCAGTTTCCTTGTCCTGGTCAGGTCCATTCTAATTCTTCAAAATGAATGGTATGAGAGTTTAAAAAGGCAGTGATAGTTTACAAAGGACTGTTACTTGCACGATCTTCAACAATTTGTTGGAATCTAAACTCAAGGGCACAGAAATCTCCATTTTCAGAAACATCTTAAGAAAAACACATTTCTCTGTGTACACCAAAATGAGCATTCAGAGATATCGCAAACATTTAACAACTCCTCCTAGGGTTCTTGTAGATAGTTTTTGTGTTGATCTCCTCCACACAGGAGCGGAATCACCTCCTGAGAGGTCAGAGTTCACAGGAAAGGTTTAGGGCTACCAAAATCAGTATTGAGTTGATTTGAGTTGTCCATGGCCAGGCCCTTGTAGTAAGCTTACTCAAAAGGGGGTGCGTGGGCAAAAGCCATCTACCACCCTGCTCTGGCAGGGGCCCAGAGCCACCTAAAGATGGGAAAAGACTCCTAAGGCGGTTTCGAGGGCATGGGAAATGACGATGATTCAGTACATCTCCTTGACAGCCTCTGCCAGCAGGGATCCTAGGGAGCCATAAACTAGAATGAACATCCCCGGTAGAACCGCCAGGGGAGCGCTCTGGTCGTACTTACAGTGCTCCCTCCAGGGGGAATCCCCCTTTTATGTAGCTGCCCCAGGGATGCAGGTGTGTAAACCACACCCTACAGTAATAAGTGAAAGCCTTTGACGGTAGTGTGGGTTATTCGGTTTTAATCTTAGCCAAGCTACATCCCCACCCCTGAGTTAATCGCACTTTTCCCGGATCAAATGACAAGTCATTAACTATTCATCATGACCATTCACTATCTCAGAGTGAGAACTATTTAGGACTCTTAACAAGAAAAAGAAAATGGATGATTTTGAGTTTATTTCCAACATACACAGTCATGTTGCTCTGTGTTCTAGTTTGTTCTATTCATGCTGCTGGAGGGTCACAGGAAGAGGGAAGGAAGTTCATCACATGCAGATAAAGCTATGAGGACACTTTTCAGAACAGATCCCCTAACTTTTGGAGGGTCAGATATCACATACTCACCTTACTTGACTATCTTTCTCACCACACACCAGGAACTGGGATTTCCTAGCAAACAGCCAGTGGTGGACATGCCAGCGGTGTTGCCAACTAATATGTTTATATTGTATGTACATACATGTATGCTTTATTAACTGCATTTGTGTGTGTGTTGCCAGGTCTCACCAACTCATAATCGTCCTGCAGGGACTGGAGAGTCAAAACAACAGACCCACACAGTTCTCTCATCACCGCCCAGAGTGTCATTTGGCTTAAGGTATGAGACCATTAACTCCTATTGACAGAGCAGTAGGTTCAATATTTGGAGGGAGCCTGTAGGCAGCAGGAGTACAGAAGAGTCAAATGCCGAGAATCAGAACTGGCACTGCCTGTCTGTGTGGTGCTTTTCCTTTCACTAGAACACAACAGCAATAGACACACATTTTTCTCTCTCTCATTAGTACAGAAAATAAAAGTTTTGGAGGAACTGAATCACTGAGAGTTTCAAAAGACATGAAAAGGTTTCAAAAGGTATTAGGCAATACCCCAGATGAATCTGAGCCATGAAGTTCCAAGTCAGACCTGAATTTCACTAAAATTCAAGCAGCAAAGAGTCCTGTGGCACCTTATAGACTAACAGCTTTTGTGGGTGAATACCCACTTCTTCGGATGCAAAGCTCATGCCACAGGACTCTTTGCTGCTTTTACAGATCCAGACTAACACGGCTACCCCTTTGATACTAGAATTCAAGGGTGTTTGGATCCAGTATTCTAGTTTGGAACATCTCTGAACTTCACTACACTGCCTTGCATATTCCCTTGGATCCAGGGATATCTTCATGCTCATAAGCATTCATGCAGTATTTTTACTTAATTCGTGTAACCATGGAAAATGTTGTATCTTACAACAGATCATTTAGGTCAAGATATTTTTGGTTTCACTAAGAAACCAGGCACTTTGCTCTTGGCTGTGGAAATGATCCACCTCCTCTGAAGTCAAGGGATGTTGAATCAGGCACCACATAAATTCATGAGACTGTTTTTGCTTCTTACGTTCAAAATCCCACGTTGGATCTAAATTTCAAACATTATAAGAAACTCATGTTAATCCTTAATAAATCTGAAGAAATGTAAAATGACATTAAAAGAGATACCATGCTTATTGTTTTTTCAGGTCTTCCAAATAAAATCTGTTCTGTTTACCAGACAAACATTATTTTTCTATTTACATAGGCTACAAACTCAACCTAGGGTTCCTACTGGTTTGTATGCTATTCCCAGTAGTGAATTTTCAGTGATCAAAATGTTGCTGCCACACGTATTGCTGATGTAGGAGGCAGAGCAGAATCCAGGTAACTCTCCCCTAGGTGTTCTGCAGTGTTTACAGTATTAAACTTCATTTTGTCTGTAACATAAGCAGATATGACTCAAAGATACACAGGGACAAATCTGGCACTTGTGTAATGGTGCAGTTATTTTAGAGTTGCACCTGCTTACACTAGGGCTGATGCAAATATGTTGAATAGGAAGGTGCCATTTTAACAGTTACTTTAAGCTTACCCTGACACTTATTCCACATTGTAGCTTGTGCTTTAGGGTTTGTAGTCACAGATCTCAAACAAAAAATGCTTGTACAGTGCTAGCTTTGGCATATCAAGTGACTTACAGAGAGCTACCATTAAAACAAAACCAACATTCACTATCTTCTGTCATATAGAATACTGTACCAGTCTGTTTATAGTGAGAGTCTAAGGAAAATCCAGGGCTAGGTACGAACATGTAGATTGGTCTTCTGAATTTAGTGGCTTTTCCCCTAAATGCAATAGCTACCATATGGAACAACTATCACATAATTCCAAGGCTTGCCTACAGCTGTGAAAAATGTTTATACTGCAAACTTAAAATAAGCAAACCTCTTGCCTGCTGTACTCCAGACAGCACTGCAGTAATAGTTGTGATTTTCTATTACTGCATGGCACTCTGTGGTATATCTGACTCCAGGGCTATATATATTATAGGGACTAGTCCTGGATTGGCAGAGATGGACAAAGGGATCTAATAAGTCTTTCTAGTTGCTAATTTCTAGGATTCTCTTAAAGATACATCAGTGGAACCAGAGGAGCATTTTCTAATCTAGTTTATTATGAATGGGAAGGGAGAAGAGGCAGATGGCCTATTCCCCTCACACACCTTACAAAGGATTGGGTGGGCTAGAGGCCTGCTTGCTGAGCCCTTGAAGCAACAGAGGAGTGAGCCCACCAGCTACTCTCAGAGGGGGGAGCAGTCGGAGTGGATCACTCAATAGCAGGTTTCACCTCACTCCTAGTCTGACTACTTCAGCAGAATCCTGGTAATTTGAAAATAGTAAGAGACCCATTGAAAATATGAGGTTCTTTCAATGTCATGCTGCATTTAGATTATTTTGTCTCTTTCAAAAAGTGTGTGGTGATGAGGGATAGCTAAAAACCTCTTGTTAATGAGGTGTCCCTTTTTCTTGGACAGGAAACCTAGAGGGGAGGGGAAAAAATGCCGAAAAGTGTATGGGATGGAGAACCGAGATATGTGGTGTACTGCCTGCCGTTGGAAGAAAGCCTGCCAAAGGTTCGTCGACTAAAGACTGGAAGCGCGGAGGACCCAGGGGATGGGAAGTACAATAGCAGGATCCTGTTGCTGCAGCTGCCCCGGCCTACCCTCCAGTGCTGCCTTTTAAACAGACTTGTATTCCAAAACAAAGCACTTGTAGCCAAGGAGAAGCACTTAGCAAAACCAGTGTGGAGCAATAGAGGGAAAAAAAAAAAAAGTCTTATCAAGTATTGAACCCAGAGCAGCTATTAATGTTTTTCTTAAAACAAAAAATAACTTGTTGCTAACTCTGAACTACTTGCTCCCCATGACTGTTCTTTAACCGTGTCAATGTCTATGCTGTGAACGTCTGTATCAGTTGAACCAAGCACCGCATCTTGCCCTGAAATGAAGATTTCTTTTTAAAAGCCTAATTAACACTTTACGACATATAAGCTACAGTTCACTCAACAGCAGCCATACCAAGAGTGGAACCTGTTAAATAATTCTGCTGATGTGAATGATCTTGGTTGGATTCCTCATTTTTGGGTGTTTTTTTGAGGAATTCAAACCTTGGTATGTCAGAAGGACAAGCAACAGCACTCCTGGATGATTTTTTAAAAGCAGTCACAAACCAGAACAAAGAGTGGAGCTAAGTTTTAAATTAGATGGCAATACTCCAGAGAAGGAAAAATTATGGGAAACCACCAGCAGATCTCAGCCACAAGTCAGTCCAAGATTTGAGGGAAGGCATTTCAACAATGATTGAAACATACAGGAATATAATTTGGGTTCCAGTATCTTTTCTCATCACCGGTACCTTTTCGTAGCAATGACCATCTTATGCTGCTGAAGCCCTATTAAGAACTGGATGATATGTAATATCTATTCAGGGATATGAGCCAACCCAGCAGTTCAACTCTTGCTTCCTTTCCTCCTGTGTATAAGATGGTTACTAAATTAAGGGTGCACTCATTCTTTCCATTAGCAATGCCAAATTTTATTTGTGCAAAAAATGTATAGAAAACAAAAACACCCGAGAAGTGCTCCCACCGCATCATCCCAGCAAGTGGAATATGACAGCAGTGGAGCAACATATGTATATGTTAAGTAAAGTCCTTTTTTTATTTAAAAAAAAGTCACTGAGGTCAGAAATAGCCAATTTTCATGCAGAGGGCACTTTGATGGATGTGTGTGGTATGGTGTATTTAGTGCTTCAGGCTGTTAAGAGGGTGTAAATCCAGAATGCTGATCTTTTATCCCTAGATAGATGAGGTTATTTAAGTGAGAAAATAAAGTAAAGCGGAAATGCCATATGAATGAGCACCACCAACTCCTGCCTGTTTAAAAACAAAACAAAACATAGGCATAGGCACCTATCATATGAATAGGGCTATACAGGCCCACTACCAGCGGGGCTTGTTTTTCATGGAGTCTGATAAACTGGATCACATAGCTCTCATGACAGCATTACTTAACTTGCATTGCTGCCTATGCCCATTTAGAGAACAAAAGCGCACACTTTTGAACATAGCCTAGAGTGTAGTGTTAAAGCAAAGGCAATACAATACATGTTTGAATGGAAAGAACAAAAGAATAGTAAGAGCCTGGTTTTTTTAAACAAATTATTTGCTCTGTTGCATGCCTGATTTGAGCATTATTTCTGCAACTGTGTTTACAAATCATGCAATTTTCATGCACAAGTGGCTAGTGAAGGTCACTTGCATGCATACAGTTACCTGATTTTTATGCACAATTGAGCACCTAACTTGTTTAGAAAAATCAGACCCTAAAATCCAGCCCGGATAATAAAACAAAACGTGAAATAAATTAACACAACAGAAGGTAAAGATTGGCAGATATACGGCGCCATCTGCACTCTATTGTTTGCACTTCCTTATCTTTTGGTGAGGTCATAAGTCATGGCTTTTCCTTCTGTGATTTTTTTTTTTTCAAAGATTTCTTTAGGGAAGTCTCTCAACAATTTGTAATGATTTCTAGTTACTTCCTTTTAAATGCTGACATTGTTGTCAGTGCCTTTACTATGGTGGGACACAGAATGTGGATCTTGCTCCACTGATATCCCTCCTTATTTCTCTAAAAGCCTCTCAAGATGCTTATAAAACAACAATTATGACCCCTATTGGCCTCATATTCGTTACTTATCCCCATCATTGTTACCTTCTCCCTTATTTACTCTGATCTCTTGAATTTTAAAGAGGATTTTTAAATACGTTATTGTAATTGGTTTCTAAAATGTTATATAGCATCATGAGCACCTTGGCAGGGGGCACTTTATAAATGAACATATTAATTAAATCATAAAATTTCCACAACATGGGGCAAATTCTGGTTGGCCCCAGGAACCAGGCACAGCACTCGTCCCAGCTGTAATACTGGAGGAAAATGAGTTAGAGAGAGGGCACAAACCTTATTAATTGCATGTATTCTCAGCTCGCTCTGTTCTGGCTTGTGGAAAGATCTACTGGGCATGCTCAGAGGCTTCACATAAACTTTAGCAAAGCCATTCCCATAACATAATTCACGTAGCCACTCCCATACTGCTAACTTTATATCTATTTTTAGATAGGCACACAAATAGACCACCAAAGCTGTGTTATTGTCCACCTCTCAGAGTTACACACACTTTCATTCTGTTCTTGATAAGTGTAAGATTATTTACAACAAGCTGCACGAATGGGCCACTGCCTGGCCAAAGTGCTTGGCTCATATGTCTGTATGGACTACTTCCCTAAACTGTTTAACCACACCAAGTCACGCTTCTCTGGAGGGTCTGTCAGGTGACCCCTGATTTTTCAGAGGAGTCAGAATCTGGTGATCGGTTTCCATCATGCATTCTCACAGTTGGGCCATGGGTTCTTTGGTATGTGTGTACATACACCACTAGCAGCCAGAACTTGACCCTTAAAATATAAATATTGAAGGATATATATATATATATAATTCTTTTAACCACTTAGTAGAAATGATGCTGGTCACAGAAGTTGGTACCACATGATCTTATCAAACTTTTATATTGACAGATATACCACCGGTTCCTAATTTTTGCTGAAGGGACTTTCCTGCTACAGCAAAACAAATGTATTTTGGGGAAAAAGCCTGAAAAAAGGAAATTTCAAGCAAAAGGGGAACATTTTAGACAAGCATTTTAAACATGATTAGCTTGTCTCTCTATTCCTGCATAAAATGCCAAATATGGGAAATATATAAAATTTAGGTAATCTTATTCACTAGCTGTTTCCATCCAGGTCAATTGATCTGATTCTGCACTGCCTTGCACCTTGTGTGGTCCTTTACAGGTGTGCAAAGTAAGCCAAACTTCCATTCTGATTTGCATATTTACATCTGCTTTTCATAGGCGTCAACTGCCATTCAAGTTGGTGCAAACATGCCCAGTGGGTCTATCTGTGTGAATAAGGTGAGCAGGCTTCATACCTGGTCAGACTCTAGAGCAGGAGATTTTATGCAATTCAGTCACCTAATTGGGATATCTGAATATTGATTGTTTAGTGATCAATCAGTTCCCTGCTCCCCCTCCAGCTGTTTTGTTAGCAATAAGCAATGATACAGCAAGAAGGCAGAGATCTTTATGGAACATGTTACATATAGGCCAATGTTACATGCTGATACCTCTGTGTTTTTCCAGTATTAGCCTGGCCACCAGCTTGCATACGTAAGCTCCAGGTGTCACTCCAAACTGGGTCTCCTCCTGAAACCTGAGCCTGTTTCTTTCTCCAGTCCCACTCACTTATATAACACCCTCAAGTTTTCCCTGAGAGCGACACCCTACATAGCAGTATGGTATCATTCTAGCCATATCTCCGTTGCCATGGTCTGGTCAGGGACTATCTAGAGAGACCTTGCCTGGAGTTCTGGTGAATTAAATGTACAGATGTCACTTAGAAGGCTTCCCTGCAGGTCCATTACTCTCCCATAGGTCCATTAAGAGAGCTGCTGAAGAGCCTGGGAGAAGGATGTGAAATTAGGAGTCTCCTGGCCAGTTGGGAAGGCTTAACAGGTATGAGGGCTTGTCCCCATCCTTGATTGGACCAAACTCCATAGCAGTCATCACTAAAATCAAATTATACTGCTCTTTACTATAACAGTGGTGGTTGGAAAGAGGTTACTAAAATGACATCTTGTTTTCTATTTACACTTCACTGAACTCACCTAGAGGTAGCACTGCTGGAACTGAACTCTGAAGAGACTAATGGAGTTAATCCCAGACTACCAGGACTTATCTTGTACATAGTTACTGCCAGTTCTAAAAACCAGTTATAAAACATTATTCTAGTGGAGATTTTGTTGTTGTGGGATTCCAGAAGGGTTTTATACCACCTTCAGCAAAATAACGGAAAACTAGTCAAGTTGACAGTTTAGGTACAGAAGATAGATGCTAAATTTAGCAACTTGTGGCGGCAGGATCCTTGTGCTTCAAAAACCTGTTTCAGGGTTGCAAAAAGTGGTGTCTTGAATTGTGGTTGATAGCATCTGCTTCCAGTATTCCCCATCTGGTACTACAGTGCTGTTTACATAGACTTATCAAATTTCCATCATGTACAAGATACAAGGATTTTTCTGTGACTTTCAGCAGGACAATTTCTTTCATTATCTGAAAATCAAGCTTTGTTCTTTCTGCTTCATACAGTATATCATCTCTAACCAATCCAGAAAGATTCTACAGTCAGAAGGTAGCTGGCACTATTTTTGATGATGCACAGGCTGAAGAAGAATACAGCTCATTCACCCATACCCTTGTTTACTCCACATTGCTGACTGTAGTAAGAACTTGTTTTTGTCAATAAACTTGTCAGATAACACATAAGGGAATAGACAAATGCAGTAACAAGCCACAGTTCAATAGAACTGCTTTTCTAACCTTAACCAATTTTAAGAAAAAATTTTCTGATAAAACCTTTGCATCCAAAGTTTGAGATGACTATTGTATGTTTCCCTGAGAGAAATAAAGAAATAATTATAACATGAAAAATAAATTAGCAGTAAAAATATAAATGTAGCTTTCCTATTATATGGGACAACTCACATAAATCAGGATTGCAAGATTTTGTCCGAATTCTTAAAATCTAACCCAGTGCTACAAAGGAGCTCCTAAATTACATTTGTAAATTCTCAATGTTCATCATCTTTTCCCTCTACGAAATGTAAGAATGTTATCTTTCATTTTACACTACTCTACTGTAGAAGATAGGGATATCCCTGAGTTCTGAATCAGTATCCAGTCATGTTAAGGAGGAGTTTTCCTCACCAATTAGTTATTTCAATAGCAAATAGTAGTGCAGCATTTGGTATGTAATGTTCAGATAAACAGAAGTTACTAAAAGTGTACATAGAGAAATACCTTGAGAAAAACAACAAAATGATGTAAATAATATGGATTTCCTCAGGGAAAATAAAAGGGCAGTAGATGCAAAAAATAGGTCTGTTTGAACCTACAATTACTAAGAATTTTAATATGCATTTTATTTTTCTGGATAGAATTATTTAATGAAATAAGGACTATATTACCATTTGAATTATTAAAATTAGAAATGAGTGCTTATTTGTGAACATGACCTTTTCTTGCTAACACAAAGTATTTAAGCCTGTGTATGCTTCAACTATTAAAAGGAAAGGGGTTTTAGCTGATGTAAAGTTATGGGAACAGAGTTTGAAACATGACCTGATACAATAGGTGGTCTACATATTTGTATAAAGCTTTCTAGAATGTAATGTAAACATGAAGTCTTGTCGCTATACAATCACCCAGTTAAACATGTGTTATCTATAACTGGGTTACTGTTCATTTAAGTGGCTCAGAACAAAAATGTATACTTTGTAGCATGCTGTCCTGCAACTACTAAGTACTCTGGTTTGCAAGGTGCTAATTTCCTTATGGTGCACTCGATATTTTTAACTAGACTTTTTTCATATCTACTAGAGTACAAGCTTGAAAGAAACTCAAGATCATGCATGCAAATAAGAAAATGCATTGTATTGAAATACACACAGTTCTCAAACTTCTCCATTTGTACATGAAGAAGTGACCCCTTTTTTTTTAGTTCCGTTGTAATTTCTCCTTATCAGAATCTCTTTACAGAATCTATTAACATCATGACCAGGGATCCAACTGGGCAGACATACACTCAAGTGAGTAAAATCATGCATGTGCATAAATATCTGAACATTTTAATAAAGTTTTTAGCTTTAAGTAATTCTCATGCTGACACTGTTAATGATAGTGACTGATCTTTCTCTCAGAGTGTAGGTACAGTAAATCTGCAAAGCAGGGCACATTCCAAGTTGACTAGAGGTTGAAGAGATGTATTTCAGTAGCAGAAAAGCATTTATGCAAAGCACATGAGAGTCTCACCAATGGGATTACGCATATGCTTAGAGTCTAAATTTGTTTGCATGCTTTGCTGATTCAGGACCATAGAGACATCTTATTCTTATAGTCTCGTTTTGAAATATATTGCAAGACAACCTGGCCATTTGTAATTTTGTGCTATTTGTTGTAGATTCAGAATACTTTTACACTAAGAAAAGTCTAATTCAGAGAACTGGCTTTTTAAGACATTGTTTAGAATTCCAAAGTTGCCGTGTCACTATCAAACTCAAAGAAAGCCTGTCAAAACAAACACATGACACATACAGGCCACTGATGACATACAGTTTGATCTCTGCATTGCTTATGTGCTCAACACACCCATTGACTTCAATAGGAATTCTGGGTGTACAGGAAACAAATGATCAGGCCCATAGTTCTCAATTTGTCAGTTCACCTAAAAACTTTCAAAATGCAAATATTTTGTATCATCATGATTGATGTTGTTCTGTGTAAGTTTTATTGTTTCTAAAAAGATCTCATATTTATACTGGAAAGGAAACAGACAGCAGCCTTCTTTATACGATGCAATACTTGCTTACTAAACAAAGGGCTAAACTATAGAAACAAGTGCTGCAAAGCATGCTCTTTAAAGCTAACTTACCATCAATAACAATAGGTTAGTACAGGCAAAACTTCAGAGCTGTAACAATGCTGGCATTATTTTATATCAATTTACTAAAAACTGTGAAACAAAACTCAGATTCCATGAATGAACCAAAAGGGTTGTTGCTTTATACACCAACAGCGCACAACTGTAACAGAGCAGAAGAAATAATCCAGAACACCTGGGAGGAAGTTAGAAATAGCGACGTTCAAGTCTTTCTGAAAGGAAAACTGTTGCCCTTGGTAGCATAGAGATAATTTAGTCTGAAATTGACATCTCAATGTCATGAAGACAAGCCTACTTCATGGACATGAATTCCATGTTCTGAAAAGAGATTTTGCTTGGTCTCTTGGGGTTTTTACTTTTATATTTATAGTCTCAGTTGTAAAGTTCTTAAAATTGTCAACTATTTAGCTTGAAGATGTAATACATTTTGACAATGATTTCTGAAATAATTTCTGAAACACTGTCATACCAGTTTGAGCCTGATCCTACAAGGCGATCTGCTCAGACTTCAGTGGGACCCTGTGCTAGAAAGGTCCTCACAGAAAGATCATTTGCAAGAGCATTGTTCACAGGTAGAAAGACTTTTCATAGCTGGGGCAATCAAAAGGCAAGCCTTACAGATGTTCTGGTATGTCATACACAGCTTTCACTAAGTTTATTAAAGGGGCTTTGTCATGTGGGTTAGGACCCACAATTCAGAGATTGTGGGGGGCATTTACACCAAACAAAAACTGTTTTAGAATTTTAAATGGCAGTTTAAATTATTTGTTTTAATTAAATTTATGAATCCCCTGCAGAGCTAGCAACTCATACATTGCAGCACTGCGTGCTGGAACGTCAAACTGATTCCGTATTTCACCTTTTTAAAATAATGAAATATATTAAAGTAAAAAATTGAACTTTTAAAATCTAATTTTACTGATTTAATAATCTGAGGTAGCAGGTCCGGAGGGAATGTTAATTGTTTAAAAAAAGAACAGCTCTGGAGCCAGATGCTGGGCGCTGCTCTTGCAGTGCAGAGCAACCATGAAGCCAGTGGATCCGGATCCTGTGAATTCTCTCTGGCTGGGGAATCTTTGAGGGCCATAGAGCCACCCTAGCAGTTCCTGTGCCAAACCCCTTCCTTCCCCCCCCCCCATCTGCTTCCCAGTATAGAAGAGATGCAGCCAAGGGAAGGATGTCCTGGCCAGGTATTCCTACACCCCCATCAAACCCTGGCTGACAGAATCCCTCACATACGTAGCGCCACTGGCGTCAGAGACTGTCTGCATGAGTTCAATGAGCAGGAATTGCACCAAAATTTTGTGCTTTTTGTTGAGGACCAAAAACAAATGTACCTGAAAATGTCTGGCCTGAAAACTAATGAAATCCAACCAGGCTGGAGAAGTGTTCTCCCTGCCTAAAGACTGCCACTTTACCAAAAACTGTGCCAGCCTTTATCTTGGATGGTATTATAGCCTTCACAAGCTCCTGCCAGACAAAAACCCTATGATGGCCTCAATCATCCGATATTGCCTAGTGGGTCCAAATGATATTAGTGGTGCTGCTAACAACACACAATCACCTATTCACTTACCAAATAGTATTCTTCCAGCTTTTCCCGGTTATGCCAAAAACCATTCAACTACTGAAGTAATTCGTGGGAAACCCCTGTCTTCCCATGCTGAAAATATTCCTTAAGGAAGTGTGGTACCACCATAGGCATGTGAGCATATTTTATTATCAAGCCACATCTAACCTCCACTTAAAAGTGCTGAGGAATTGCCATTTTGTCTGCTTCAAAGTCTCTCTGCTCCCTCAACAAAGCTCTGGGCTTGGCACTATTAATTGATCCAGGAGTCCCAGTGAGCAGCTTCATCCAAAGTCAGTGGCAACATCACTCCAAGAGAAAGGAGAATTCAGGGTGGACAAAGTAACAGCCTCAAATAATCAAGTGCAGATTCCTCATGTGGATGTGTAGGAGAATAGCCCTTGTCTTTCTGAGATTCCAGCATAGAGATTGCTCAGTGTGGGACATCATGCAGTCATGTATCACATTTCCTTAGCAGCAAGAAAGACAAATTCTCCCATCCTCCAATTAATATATTTGCCTCACTCTGAGAATCCCAGAGTTAACTGAAGATTAAGACAAGCAGCAGTCTCTTGAACAGGATGTTTCCTTGCTTCACATTTAAAGAAACAGGATTATCTTGGCTTTTTTCTAGGAGAAAGTTAATGGGCAGACTCAGTTACATAGGTACTATTTGAGGGAGGTTTGAGCCAAGAAGTTAAGATCTTAATCCAAATATCCTCAGAACTGGAGCATGGTAGGATTTAAGTGTTTGTTTGGGCCTCTCTCTACTTATTGCACAAGAGCTGTGACCAATGCCTTAGAGAGGGTACAGTACAGGGGTTCTCAACCTTTTTCTTTCTGAGCCCTCCACCCCCACCCCCACATGCTATAAAAACTCCATACCCCACCTGTGTCACAATAACTGTTTTTCAGCACATAAAAGCCAGGGCCACTGTTGGTTAGCAAGCAGGGCAAGTGGGGCCCCCATGAAGCTAAGTTGCTCAGGCTTCGGGTGGCAGGGTTCAGGGCCCTGGGCTTCAATCCTGCGCGACAGGGCTTTGGCTTTCTGCCCTGGGCCCCAGTGAGTCTAAGCCCAGCCCTGCTTGGCGGACCCCCTGAAACCTGCTTGTGGCCCCCCAGGAGGCACCAGACCCCTGGTTGAGAACTGCTGGTATAGTAGACCTTATGTACTTTGTACCTTACAGTATGCAGCATGACAATCTAGTTTGGTTACATCTGGATAACACTTCTCTATCCAGATACTTGTGGCCTCCTCACTGTAAACGGAGTACAGGTTCTTTTCTCCTGCCAAAATATTGTACTATTCCCAAATCGCTTGTAAGTAGAAGATTCTGTCAGTGATCAACACCACTTTTATTTACTGTTTTATAATGTAATAGTCAAGAAACTTGCCAGAAAAGATTATTCATTAGCTTAGGTCATTTTTTCCCCTCTAAAGTACCTTAAAGCAAATATGATTTGCATATTTATTAAAATACTTTACTTATTTGTATACATGTACATTTTTAAGTAACTGTTGTAAATTAATTCATGAAAATGAGCCTTTCATGGACACCTTTAAGATGATTCTTTCTATAGAGTAGGTCAGTCAAAACAACTACTGCTGGTTCTTTTAAAATAAGATTAATATAGCAATAATTAGTGCTAGCATTTCTTGGGGATGCAGGGAGAGCAGCACATATTGCACATTCTCAAGTCCATATTAAATGACAGGGAATTTTCTCTAGAGCCAAGAGATCTGACACTAGTGTCTATCTTCAGTACACAACTGCAGCGTATTATGATTGTCAGTTGCACAATTCATATTTTTACAAAACACTATTATATTACAATTCAAGGCTTACATCAGTATCATTATGACTGAATTGCATTGTAGCTAGCAGAGGTCCAATCACACAGTCTCTTCTCAAGAGAATAGTTCCTACTCATGTGAACAGCCTCACTGAAGACAATAGGACTAGTCATGCAAGTAAGGACTGTTAGAGTAAGGGTTGCAAGATGAGGGCCCTTAGTTTTCACTTGACATCAATGGCTATTTGTCAGGATGGGCAGGAATGGTGTCCTTAGCCTCTGTTTGCCAGAAGCTGGAAATGGGCGACAGGGGATGGATCACTTGATGATTACCTGTTCTGTTCATTCCCTCTGGGGCACCTGCCATTGGCCACTGTCAAAGGACAGGATACTGGGCTAAATGGACCTTTGGTCTGACCCAGTACAGCTATTCTTATGTTCACACATTCCTCCAGAAGAAGTTAAAAAAATAACAAACAAACAAAAAAACAAGATTATGCCAAAAAGCTGGCTAAGTAGAACTGTGGAGTCTCTTCCCCATTACTCTAGAAAACAGGATTTTGCTATCAGGAGACAAAGGATGGTCTTGAGAATAGGTGCTGGACTGGGGATTTAGGAGATCTTGGCTCAATTTTGATTTCTTGTGTGACTTTGGGCAAGTCCCTTATGCTAATATCCACCCCCCCCCCCGGACTGACAATACAGCCTCTCTCTTACCATTTCTCTGTCCTGGCTATTTAGACTGTAATCTCTTTAGGGCAGGGCCTGACTCTTATTTGTGTTTGTACACTGCTTAGCACAATGGGGCCTAATCTTTAACCCTCCTCCTGGTAGTATTTAATTTGATTTGGGGGGCGTGTGTGGGGAGAGAGAAGTAGGGAAAGGTCAGTGGTTAGCCAAATAATCTTATGTAAAATGAGACATAGGACCACAGCTTCAGCTGTGGCAAGGCTCCATTTGTCATGGCTTTGATGAGCATCAAGGGTAGCTTTGAACTATCTTTGTACTCCCCTGACTGCTGGGGCTTCCAGGAGCCAGTTTTTGGCCCATGGTATAATGCAGGGAAGTCTTAGGCTGCTCTAATTTTTGCCAGTTTGTAACAGCCCCTGAGTCCATTTATGTTGGCTGGGGATTACAAGAATGGAGCAAGCTATGGCCACTGGGGCTGGTGGAGGTGGCACAGAGCTAGCTACGCTGGGCTCTATGCCCATCTGGGATTTCCTATGCTGAGGGGAATCCTCAGCTGGCTTGTTAGTGCAGCATTCTAGCCCCTTTGCACCATTAGAATGGCATAAAAAGGGGCAAAAGGGTATATAGGATGTAGTCCATAAGGTCATTAAGGAACAAATCTGTCCTAACCAACGTCAAATTGCACTATGTTTCGTAACATCCCACAAATATGAAGAAGCACTTAAATAAAAATGTTGACCTTTTCTGTAATGGAGGCGTCATATTTTAATGCACAGAAAGAGAATATTAATACTATAGACTGTGTATGGCTTTAGTGTAAGCCAAAAGGCCAAATATTAGTCAGAATTGGCCCAATCTTGCCATCCATATGTAGGCAAAATGCCTAATAAAAATCAGTCGGTATTTTGCCTGCATTGGGACTGCAGGATTCAGGTCCATGTGTCCTTATAATTGTTTTCCTACAAGAGGGAAATTCAATCTCTGTTCAGTGTTTCTCATCTATTTCCTGACAAATGGTGCTTTGGAGACTATAAGTAATTTTGAAATTTTAAAAACACATTTCAAGAAGCAATTCAGTCTTTTTTTTTAAACTATATTTTTAAAAAGTATTTTCTCTTCCACTCTGTGCAAAAGAAGTGATCTTTAATTAGAGCTACTCAGCATTGTACTTCTTTGTATATATTTTTCCTACTTGTTATGCCATGTATTTTTTATATTAAAAAATAATTGAGAAATTGATTTTTTAAAATCTTTTTTATTATTACCAGCATCTTGCAGAGCTTTGACCTATAATTTTTAGAAATGATCCTGAAATATGGAGAAATCTGATACTAAGAAATTTTTATTAAATTAGTAAAAATGTATACTCTCTGGATCAGATGAGTTACTTTTTAATGGTATATACATAAATACTGTAGCTTCTGAAATGAATTGGCACTTGGTAGATTCAGTACACAAATGAAATGATACAGCTTTAAAAAGGAAAATTTCCTAGCAGGTGGAAAAGGTGTAGCCCTGGAACTTGTACATACACAAAACTTCCACTGGTTAAGTAAACTATATTTTTCAATTGGTTTGGTTGAACCGGTCCAAACTCCTTTGTGATCAATCTTTATAAACCAGGTTTAAATGGATTTAAAACTGTCCACTATGGAGTTGGCATCACTTTAGCTGAATTGATTTAAAAACACACCCTTAGTTAAACCAGTGCAACTCTGTGCATAGACTGGGCCCTGATTATTAAAGGGAAGCTGCAAATCTTTACTCATGTGAGTATGACTAAGATCACAGAAGCCACTGACTACTCATGTGAGTAAACATTTGCAGGATCAGCCCCTAAAGGCTATATCCTCCATCACTCCCCATGTGGAACGCTCTTTGCATTATATATATATGGCCCTAAAGCTACATCCAGATGGATTTAAGGTTTTTTTCCCTTTTTTGTCTTTCAAGATGAGCACCTGTTACTTTAAAAAGCAAGCAAGGACCATCAGAGCCCTCTGTAGGTGTTGTAGAACACATTGAAAATAAACACTATGTCTAATTGTTTACCTCACCCAAACTGTGTTTATTTCAGTTTCCAAATCATCCCTTGAACTTCAGAGCACTAAGGTCTACAGTGACTGGAAGCCAGAGCAAAGTGGCTGGCTAAGAAGAAAACTCTTTATTTTGCCCCCTCCCTTTCCTTCCAAGGGCAGATCCTTTCTAAGTTCCCCTCGCATAACACAAACACAACTGGCTGAGGTCCTGTGGGATCACCCTCTGCTCGGAAGGTCTTGAGATTACAGCATGGAAGCAGAAGAAATCTGAACCCCTAATTCTATCCAAAAGACACACACACACACACACACACACACACACACACACACACCGTCCTTCCTCCACCACGTACCTATATAGAAGTAGGTAGATGA